TGAAAATGCATTATAATTATTTAATTAATTTTTTTTTTTAGTCTTTGGAGTAGGGAAGGAGGGGAAGAATCATGTGTGTATATATTGATACTTTATTACCTGAACTGCATTTTAAAAAAAAAAAAATATGGTGGAGAAGGAAAAAAAAAGGCATTATAAGATTATAATATAAGATAAAATAAAAAAAATTGATTTTATCAAACTAATATTTATCACTACTGGTTTTTCAAGGAAAAAAAAAAAATATTTATATTTATATATATATAATTTTCTTTAAATTAAATCGAATTTTTTTTTTTTAACGTATATGTTATAGAGGGGAAAAAATGTTTGTTTTCAATTGGTCAAAATAATTTTTAAATTCAATTCATTGATTTTACTTAACTCATGAAATTATTATTTATAAAATTTCTGCATTTTACTCACTTTAAGGATCATTTTATTATAAATTTATGTATAAAAATATTTATAAAAAAATTTGAAAACAGGTATGATAAATAAAAATAAATTCACCTTTTAAAACCTTTCATAACATGTTGTTTTTTCACTATGAAAATTTTTTTCATTTAATTTTATCACGTATAAATTTATTTAGCCTTATCATCATAATAATAATAATAATAATAAGTAGATAAATAATAATCAGGTAAAAAAAAAAATATATACATTTAATTTGCAAAAGGTGTTAAAAGTTAAATAGCAAAACAAGTATGTATATATACATATAATAAAATAAAATTCAACCAATAATAATTTAATGATGATGATGATGATGATGATGATGATTGATTTTTAAACTATAATTATCAAATTCTTATTTAAAAATTATTTATCTGTTCACATCAGTCAATAAAATAATTTTTATCTGAGAAAGTAAAAAAAAAAAAAAAAAAAAACCTTGTTTCAATAATAACTACATGAAAAATTTTTTCCTTATGTCAATTTGTATGTTGTAATAAACCCCCCTCCCTCCCCTCTTATCACAACACTTTATTTGAGATTAATAATAATGAAAAAAATATTTAATTTAATAAGTATAAACAATTTTTTTTATTTTGTCTTTTACAACATGTTTTTGTCATCAATATTTTATAAACAATAATAATAATAATTTTACAAGTTTTTTTTGTTTAATGTTTTATTTGTTAACCAATAATGTTTTTTTTTTTTTGGAGTTTATCATAATAATGTTGCATTTGATTATTAAAACATTTAATTTTATCATTGTAATTAAGAAACTTAACATAATGTTATGAAAAAATAATCTTTTCAGTTATGTTTCATAAGGAGGAGTCATGTTTCAATGTTTTTGCTATGATAGAAATAAAACATTTAAAAAATTTGCTTACTACTAAACTACAAAATCTCATTCACCTGTTTTTTTTACATAAAATTAAATTTGTTATGAAAGAAGAAGTTGCAATAAGGGTCACACAAATACATAAAAACAAGAATAATTTTTAAAAAAATAATAAAATTTTAAACATTCATTCATTAATTGGATTTATCAATGTTATTATATTTAAATATCATGAATGGAAGAACAATTAATATTTAATAAATCCTTCAGGAAGTGTTAATACTCATCTTTAAAACCTTCAAAACAGGAACAAAACCTTTTACTTGTCTTCCCTCTCACGATTTTACATAAGGAACCCTTCATATTTAATAAATGTTAAGGGTTTCTTTTTTTTTTTTTTTAATATGTCCAACCTTCGTTATCGTATCGATGAAGGTTGATTAAATATTTATTTTCCTTTACACAAATTAAAATTTTCATCCTCAGTTTCAGAAAATATTTCCAAAAGGTCACATCATCACTTATAGGGATAAAAAAATTTTTAGCCTAATTCTCACCTGTAATTTCCAGTTTAAAATGGTGAATAAGTTTTTTTTTTCTTATATTCCTTATCGAATTATTTCATCCTGTTTCTATGTCACGGTCGTTAACTGAGTTTTTAAAATTTATTATTTGATTCGTTGAAAACTACAAATTTATAAATGTACGTGTCATTAGGTTAAAATTTTTAGTTCCGCGTTAATTTAACGGTCGTCAATAAAAATCAAAATAGAAACTTTTTAAATGATATTTATTTTTGCAAAGTGTATGTTTTATTTATTTAGGTAAGGATTTTAAAAGAAAAAAAAATCAGTTAGTAATTAAAATAAATATAAAAAGAATCAAATTTTATGATCAATTAAAAAAATTTAAAAAAATAAAGATGGTCATGTACTGTAAGAGTTGTTGTACCTGATCTCATGCTGGTCAATAATTAATTAGACATTGACCATAAAATCATGTTTTTTTTTTTTTTTTTTACTTCCTACGTACATTTTTTTTGTGCTGTGTAAGTTCAAATAATTTATTTATAAAAAAAAAACAGGTCTAATCTTTCACCTCATTCATTCTTTTAAAAAAAAATTTTTTTTTTTTACTAACCTTATGGGTGACCTCAGGGAGTTTATTTGATTGTTAGTTTATATTTACAAATGGGTTCACGGTTGTTTTAAGATTGGGAAAAGAATTAATTAAAATATTTATAAGTTTTAGTGTGTAATATATTATGTGT